TATTTAAATTAATTAATTGTTAAAAGAAATTGTTCTTCCTCCCGAATTTATCTCATAATAAATATACTCTCCTTCCGGAGGTACATAAGAAAATGTCCTCCTTTCTTGTGGAGCGGGCCGAACGCCTCGGCATGATAGATGCATCTATGGATTGCGTCGCACGTCCCTCGGCAGTGTACACGATACTCTGGATCGAGTCGTACGTCCTCGGCAGAAATCGTGCTTAATAATAATAATTACACGATACTTAAATAGTTATTCAGCTTGCGAAGCTAATTGATAAATTGAAAAATTCTTAGAATTTAATGAATTATTATTCTTGCTTGTTAAAGAATAAATTGTTATTCCGGTAAATGATAATTAATTGATAAATTAGAAATTATTTGAATTGACAGGATTTAATTTACATATTGAGAATTGTTGCATTTGAAGGAATTTGATTATTTTCGCTGATTAAATAAATTATTTTAAATTCTGTAAATCATGCTGATTTAAATATCATAGTGTTATTTCAATTATTATTATTGACCCATAGTGATTGTCAAAGTCGGCCATCTCGTCTCTACCACTTCGAGATTAGGCTTGATACTTACTGGGTACATGTTGTTTTCGTACTCATACTGCACTTGCTGCATATTTTTTTTTGTGCAGGACTTGAGGCAAGTACTAGTGGGGTACCTATCGTCTTACACCCACGTTATCCAGGGGCATAGTGGTGAGCTGCACTTTCTGAGCCGTTCTGCAGCTACTAGTGTCTCTCCTTGTATTTTTATTCTGTCTATTTTTATTTCAGCCAGTATTTGAAGTTTTGTATAATCTACTAGATGCTCATACACTTGTGACACCAGGTCTTGGCACACACATTGGTAGAATTTGGGTTTTATTATTTTTTTGGTTTTAAATTTTGTTAGTATATGCTTAATTTATTAAGTTGGCTTGCCTAGCTGTAGTGTTGGGCGCCATCACGACCTTTAGGTGAAATTGGGTCGTGACACTAGAATTAGTCATGAAGATTATTAGCTTAGGTGATAGCTCTCTCTCCCACCCCTCTTTTCTAGGTTTGTGAAGATTTGTCTTGATCTTCTTGTACTTTTTTGGGGCAAACTTCCCTAAATGGTCAAAGGAGATATCAAAGGTAAGATTTACTGTTATAGCAGTGATAATTTTGCAATGCGTATGTGATGCTATGATCTAATGCTTAGTAGCTTTCACTCATAATTAGAATATGAAATTGGTTTATTTCTGCAAAGATGAAATAAAGAATTATTAAAAAAATATGAAATCTTGGAGTAAGTTAGATTATTGGGTTACGCACTTATGCTTCCGGCATTGGCATCGAATTGTTCACGGCAATCGAACTCCAGAAAGGAATTTTTCTTTGATCTTAAAGTACTACAAAAATGGGTCTTGAAATGTCAAGCAATCTTAGCGTTTAAAAGTTTAGTTTGACACGTGGCAATATCCTAACATTCCATTGAGAAATACTGGACGAATGGGTACTGGAGGGGATCCCAACCCAGTTGAGAATAGGGAAATTGAGGGGATGAGAAAAAAAAAAGAAGGAAAATGGTGTAACTAAATACCTTAATTTAAGGTACTAATAATGAATTGTATATAAATGGTAAAAAAACTTGTTTAGAGCAGGTAATATATAAATATGGACAATTTTAGTAAATAAGTTTCAAATATTGTATAGGAATGAAAAAATCCCTAGTTAGTTCTAGCATGCTGTTAATTCCATTGTATTGTATCCCTATGATTTTTTCCCTGGATATCGACGTAATGCACTCTATTTTTTTCATCGCATGCAAATAAAGGAAAATATTAGAGACTGGGATGAAATTATATATTATAAACAACCAAAGTTAGTAATAAAATTAAAGAATATTAAATGATTGACGTTATCTAGTCATTTGAGCAATTAACTTGGATGAGCGATCAAATGTGAGGGAGGTAAAGATAGTTGCCACCTCTTTAATTAACATGGAATATTACAAGGAGTGGAAAGAGAAAAGAACTAAAATATTAAATGCTCTTGAACAAACCTGTTCTTTCAAAACAAAACGATTTGGAGAAGTTGTAACCGAAAGAATGTGTTTGATTACTTGTTTAGAAACGGTGCAAAACGGTAAGAGTAATACTTAACAAAAGAATAAGGGTAAATAAGTAGAAAATGAGGAAAAATATCAAAAAAGAAAAGAAGAGAAAAACCCAAGTCCGTTTCTGAACAATTCAACGTCCTCTTCCTCTACCATTTCACTTCTTCACTTCCAGTATCCGTCACAGACGGCGAAACTGGAAACAATCGGCCAACAATGGCGGGAACTTCACGGGGAAGTACTCGAAGCAGAGCTTCGAAATCTTCCGCCGAAAATGCCCCAATCCTCAGTCCTCCCAATCCAAAACTACGAAAGGATAAAACAAGAAATAACAGCTTAATTCGCATTTTCAATGTGAACCTCAAGTTCCTGCTAGGGTTTGGGATTATTTCCTTTGCGATCGCACTCTTTTTCATTTATCCGATCGTTAATCCCATGGAGAAACCTCAAAAACCCAGAGTGATCACTCCACTTCCAGCTCCAAAACTAACGGATCTTCCAATGGTAAATTAAACACCGAATATTTGTTTCCTTCTCCATTGACATTTTGATTTTTGATAATTTATACATTTTGATGCAGTTTCAAGGAGAGCATAGAGAGAGCTTGTACTGGGGTACTTACAGGCCTCAAGTTTATTTCGGAGTTCGTGCAAGGTAATATATATTCTGCTCATATGGTATATTGATAGTGTAAAACTAGTAAATATAGATATATGCTTACGATAATACTGGAATGAAGCCTATCCAAATAGAGCGGAATGGACTTTGAAGAATCATAAAGTTGAACCGTCTAATTTGTGATTGAGACATAACAGTAGTACTACCTGTTGTATCTTAAGCTAGAAGGTAAGGATTAAGGATTCAATAAAGTATACGGTTTTGGTGTATTGACTGCGTTATGATGGTGCCTTTTTCCCCTTCTTTTAAAAAAATTCAATTATCCATGACTCAGGTTCTTTCTCATTAGTGGCTTGTGATTTAATATTTGGTTACTGAACTAGGCCCTGCCAGGGTTTCTTGGTCCTGCATTTGTTGAAATAAAAGGGCTCAAATGTTGAAAATTGTACAACAATAAACATGGAAAAGAGTGGTCAAAGCGTTGTAGCTTTAAAGATGATATAAAATGCTTATTTAATGTGATATACTGGAATCCTGGGACATCCTAACTCAATAAAGGTTACATAAAGTAAGAGATGAAAGGATTACATAAGGAATTGAATGGTATCTTTTGACATCATAAGATAATCATAGAGTTAATGTGGACTTATAAAGAAAAATGTTTTAGAATTAATGTGAAAGATATTTTTTCTTGGTTATTGTCGCTCTAGCTTAAAAATAAAACAAGTTCATCTTCTTTTGACATAATCTGAAGAAAGTATCTTACAAAGTTATGCTGTTATTTAATCTCGCTGGACCTAATTCGTAATATCATGCAGCGAATAAATGCAACCACTGACAAGCTGTGAAATCTGGTGCAGAGATTGCACAAAAACATGGCTAAGTTTTGCAGTAATTGCGTAATAGTTGGTCATTTCCGTTTAAATATTTGGAGTCGGGGAACAGAAGGATCCAGACCCTATTTTCTGGGATTACACTGGGTTTGTTGTTGTTGTTGTTGTGAAGGATGTTTCACATAAATAGAGTGCTATAATGCCTGATATTCTGCTGGTTATCCCATTCTCCCGGAGCGAATTTTGAATAGACCTTGTTGGTTCAACTATGGGCACACTTCAACAACTAGTTGTGTCACAATTGAGCATTTTCTGTCTAGGCAATGAAATTGTTGATGCATCAAGTTCCATGCCGCTGTCTGGTTTAGATAGAAGTATTACTGACCATAGGGATGTCCATTCTGGTGTTGAGTAGGTCAACTCTTCTATCATGCTGTCTATAGTTTGTGATGTTACATGGTTCTTGCTTTTTTATATGCTAAAATATACTCTATTATAAAACTTCTACTGGTATGTTCTTATAATTTGCAGGACTCCACAATCATTAGTTGCTGGTTTAATGTGGATTGGAGTGAAGGACGGGAGGTATTTCATGCGTCATGTATGCCAAGATTCAGATGAGTTGAAACAATATGGCTGGACTAGTCATAATGGACGGGATTATGGACATCAGGTTCTGACTGAACAGACAATGTCCTTGACAACTAGCTTTCTGAAATTGAAGGGCCGTGGTAGTGGCTATGGCGGAGACTGGGCTGTTCGAATTGGAGCGCAGAGCAATGAGTACTTCTCCTTACCATCTCTCATGATATTCCCTTCTTGAGCTTGACATGCCTATACATGGCTCTAATGGTTGTGAGGTGAAAGTATGTTTAGAATTTGGTCCTCTAGGCTCTAGTAAGGAAATAGCACGTTACGCCATCCTATGGAAACCTTTGTCATTTGCTGCAGATCAAGATTCATCTTTTGGTTTTTTAGCTATTAATGATGATATAGGTGTAGTTGATTGATTGAGTGATGATCTTGGCAATTGAAAGAAAAGGTTGTCTACATTTCATCAACTACTCCTTCCTTGTTCGTTGTTAGTTTGTGAATGTGTCTGACAAGTAATAATAACTTAGCTGGCAGAATTTCTTGGAAGATATATCTAAGAAAATTTCGAGTTGAATAATAAATTTCAAGAGTGATGGCATATTTTAAACTTAAGGTGGGCCTACCATGCACTAGGCAAATGTTTGGTAAAATTGCTGGATGAGATCAGATTGCATGGACTCTGAAAAGTTTATTTTGTGGGGCCAAATTTTTAAAGCAGTAGTATGAGTAGTTATTGCTGCTATTGCTTATTTTCACCTTTACTTTTTCTATTTTTCACAGATGATATGTTTACAATCATATAGTACTTTTCTCCATTATCATGCACCAAATGGCTGTCTCTCCTCTCTAAAAGCATGCGAGCTTCAAGAGACCTTAATCAGAATTTTGCCTTCTCTTATTAGAAGTCTGCTGCATTTGCGCTTCTAGTTACTTTTGGCACCACAGACCACCTAAACATGAACTATTTTCGTTTCTGAAAAAGCTGTATTTCCACCTGCAGTCTAATGATAATACATGGATTTAAATTTTTTTTCATGCTTTGTGTCCCTTAAACAATTTACCCTTAAATTCTTCACAGATCTATACCCGATGATGAAATGTTAAACACCGCACACTTGTTTTTTTACATGGCTGATGAAGGAGGAAAAAGTTTTAATTTGGGTAGAGGAGTCCTGGATATTCATGATGATTCTGTATTGGCGTCAGGATCACGTAGTGACACTGGAGACTGGCAGCTTCACTTATTGTCAGAGGTAAGTTTGCTGACTGGTTTTCAGTTGCAATTGAAAAGTTAATGATTTCAGTTGTCTTCAATCTTGCCATGATTATGCATCTATTGATGCGGTTTTCTGAAACTATTGCCTTATGTATATCTTCCATGGCTCTTCTGATCTTTGTGGGCTTATTATTTTATACGGATACTGATTTGTCAAAAAGAAGAGGATACTGAACTTTTAAAGTGATAATGCTAGTTCGATCTTTCTGGTTTATTTTCCCTTTTTTGTTTTCTTATAGGAGGGTTTTATGTCCTCCATTTCTGCTGCTATAAGCCTAGGAGATCTTTTGTAGTCTTCAGGTATGGTTGCACACAGAATGCTCTTTCCATTTGTTTGTCACATACATCTTTTAGAGTCTTGTTGCTGGTTAGGATGCTAATGGCTTCATTACAAAATATAACTTGAGGGCTATTCTTTGGTTCACATGAAGATGGACGCAGGAATATGTTAATTTAGTGTGAGCTCAGGGTGAAGTAACCCAGATAATTGAGTTGGAGAGAAATGTGTCTAAAGTCCCAATTCAAACCAAAAACTGACTTGCCTCTCGAGGGTTGAGCTATGTTAAGGATGATGGTTAATGTAAGGGTTTTGCTTGGTAGGGAATTAAAGACTGCAATGAGGAGAGTACGTCGCTAGGAGGATAAAGGTATTCCTGATTTTTGGACGAGTGTAAAGGTAAGGAAGAGAAATTGCTGATATATCATGCTTTGCATTTTTAGTCCTTTCAATAAATAGATGACCGGGAAATCTAATTCTCAATCTTTGAAGGAACCTCAGATTTTTCTGTATATGCTAGTTTTAGTAGAATTAGAATGTTGGTGTCCAAGTTTCTGCTCTTGTTCAGTGGTTCTAGTTAATAGAAAAAAGGATGTAATCTTTGCTCAGGTGGAGATATGCCTTTTCTTCTACCATATTGTTCAATTAACTGCAAAAGAAACTTAGCCGAAGGAAGAAACTAGTCAATTTGAATGCAGTTTCGTCAAAGACTCATTTAAGCTTAAGCCCTGAAGCTTATGAAACTTCAGGAAGGGCGCTTTGCCTTGCTTAAGCTTCGCTTCAGTGTAGCCAAGGCAGTAAGCCCATGAGTTAATCTTGAATGGGGCTGTACTAACTACTAAACGATTAGATATATTAAATGTTAAAAGGAAAATTATGAATGGATTTGTTACATTTTTCTTGCATTACATATATATTTTTAATTTTTTCTTGATTGCTCCTTTTTTTAAACTAAGGCCCATAGTGATTTTGCTTTGCGCTTAATGCCCCAAGCCGGTAGACCTAGAGAGATTTTTTGAATCTTTTCGCCTTTGACAACATTGTTTGAATGCACATTTGGTGTTTAGGTTGCTTTATACCAAAGTTAGGCTGATGCCGAGGGCTGTGGTCAGCTTTTAGTTGTATCTTTAACACCTTTTACATATGGATGCACTGCTTTTGTTAAATTTTACCTACCATAAGCTCCATATAAGGAAAGGGATTCTAGCGTTTTATGTGCTTCTTAAGGTGGCTTCTGTTCTGGTCATTTAGAGCATGGATGACTATATAGGAGAACCTGATCCCTTCTGCGCTGAGGTGTAGTAATTGGGAGAAACTGTGATTATGTTGCTATTTCTATCTTTCGTGAAAGCTGCATGACAGAGTTCCCTCTGTTGGCATTATCTTGTTTTCCTGTAGTTCATTGCTAGTTCTAGAATGATAGCTTATGCTTTGATTACAACCTTTTTTAGAACATTTCATTGATTTCAAATCTGTACCTTATCTTTTAACAGTATAAGAACGAAATGGTAATTCTGCCTTCTATTCCATGACTCTCTTTTAATTCTTTTGTTTCTTTTTTTTATTGTTAAAAGTAGTATATTAAAATCAGCATAAGTGCTGTCGAAATAATTACAGGGGACTACATTACGAGTTCTGTAATGAGCTTAGAAAATCAATCATGGCCTCCATGTCATTTGCAAGGGCCATGTTAGACTGAAGGAGAGAAGATATACATCTATGCTTATGGTTATTACAGATCCCAATTTGCTTTTAAAAACTCGTGTTCCTTTATTTCTAAATAGTCCTCCAAAACACTGAAGGACTGGTTTTCCAACACAACACAACACAACACAACATACCCAGTGTAATCACACATTGTGGGGTCTAGGGAGGGTAAATACGCAGACCTTACCCCTACTTGTGGAGGTAGAGAGGCAAGGAATGGTATTCCAGATTTTCCTTTTTGCCTTACCCAAAACCTCGCAGATGCCAAAACTGTAATAGTTCCGCTGTCATTGACATTATCCATCTAACCCCCAAAATATTGAAAATTTTAAAGTTTTCAACAGGCGGTCTCATCATAAGCATTTATCTGCTGTTGGATTTTTATTTGAAAAGCTTCTTGTAGGATGTTTCTCACGTACATTATTCTGGTTTCAAGACGCCTCACATTCACAATTTATCTGATCTTGTCCAGGCAAATTTGGCAGTCCAAGTATGCCTCTAATCATATTTTTCTTTGCTACATTTTTGAAAGTTATCTTTGCCTTTTAACTTATGTAGTTAGCCACTTAGCCTGTAAATTGCTTGCTTTTTGTCCATGTTGGATTAGGCAAGAAAATTTGGCCATTTGCTGCTTTCGGATTCATCTGATGATTCTCCCAACATTTTAGTATTTCAGGTACCTTGAGACAGTTACCAACACTTCCTGCACTTCTGCTGATTTTATATTCTGTTAAGTAGATTTTCTTTTTAATCCAGATCTCTGCTAGGATTCCTTTCAGAGCAGACATTGTTTTTCTTTCTGGGACCAGTACTCGTGATTCAAGAGTTGAAGAACGGGTTAGCAGGCTAACAGGTTTATGCTGAGTCTACTTCATTAGAATATGATTGGCATAAACAAGGAATTTTATTTTGAAAGTTGAAATATTAGTTTTTCCAGCTTATTTCGACTTACATTTAAATCTTACATTATCTCCCCCCCCCCCCCCC